AAGGAATTCGTGCTTATGAAAACGGTAATCATTTTATAGGAACATTCCAATGTGGTGATAAACATGGCCATGGTGTTCTTTATGATACGAATGAAACAATAGAAGCAGGTATCTGGGTTAATGATGGACCAACTAATCAAGATTTAAAAACAATTTCAAATGGTCATTTTTATGAATGGAAAGATGAAAAAAGACGAAGAATCTCAATATCATGTTTATGATGATAAAAATGGAAATAAATATATTGGCAATATAGTTGATGGTAAGACGCAAGGATTAGGTATACGGATTTGGTCAGACAATAATCGATATGAAGGTAATTTCAAGAATGATAAAAAACATGAATATAGTATTTATTATTATACTGATCAAGGTATTTATAAGGGTCAATGGATTAATGACAAGATAAATGGAGAAGGAAGACTAACTTGGATTAGTGGTACTTACTATCAAAAAAAATTCGTCAATGGAAAGCGAGATAGTCAAGGAACGTTAATATTTGCTAATGGGCAAAGGCAGGAAGGCAAATGGAACAGGGATCAATATGTCAGTCAATTATATTGTCAACTAGTTTGAATTAAGGACATATTCCAAAAAAAAAACAAATATCTATTATAATCATATGCTTTACAATTTAAATTACAAATAAATAAATTTTTATTCAAAATTTGAAATATTCATTTTTTTTTATAAGACATTCTTTTAAAACAATGAAAAGAAAAAAAGATAAGTAAAGAAATTCTTATCGTGAATGTAATGCTGTTAATAATTGAACTTTCTTCTAATCGGATCACTAGAAATTGTTGAATCTAGCATCGATGTAAATGTATGTTTTATTCAATTAGTATTTATGACAGTACCAGTTGTCAAGATGATACTATTATTAGCATTATTTTCCAAGGTGTTATTTGATACCAAATAAATATCAGTAACAATGTTAGTCATTGATGTATCAATATTTATTGTTGAATCATCAAATTCTGTTGTATTTATTGTTGAATCCAAAACTATGAAAAGGAAAAATCATTATCAATAAGCTAACTATTGATTCTTTTATTATTCATTCTCATTAAATAACCTAGAACAAGAAGTAGGTGAGAAGAAAAAAGACTGATTATGTTTTGTAAGAAATGTGTGTAGAAAAGATTTAATAAAATATGAAAAAAATTCTCAATAGAAAAGTTAATTTGTTAAAATCAAATTATTCCACTATTGAATATAACAGAAAGAATTCAAATAAAATTTTTACTTCTATCTGTTGTTGTTCGTGTTGGTGGTGGTGGTGATTGATATGTTTTTTTGCCATGACTTAAAATGATTGTTAGTGGAATAACAAAGCCACAAATTAGAATAATCATTAGTATGCTTATTGAAAATAAAAAACGACGATTTAGTGTTCGTAGTAAATATGTCAAAGAGTATCGTCTGACAAAAAAAAACAAAAGATTTATTATTGATATTTTGCCAGAAACAACTTACGAATTATTTTCTATATGATTTAATGATATTCTAACAGCTGCATAATAAGGATGAATTCTTGCAGTTCGCATTGCGGAAAGCATAAAAATGAACGTGATAGACTCAGACAAACACTTTATATTGATTTCTTTTCTAATATTTATTAAATATATGTCAGCTTTTTATTTGAGAAAACTCATACTCCTTTTAATAAAGTGAGAAAAGTCCATTTTTGTTCATGACAATACAAAATACGATATTGTGAATTATTAAAATACAGCGAATTGTTTGAGTCAAAAAAGTTTTGAATTTCGATTTATATTCGCAAACGAGAAGCTACGATTGTAGCTACTTATTTCATGTGACTTATAAAATGATCATTGCAACTGGTATTTCATGTGATTAAAACTGAACAAAACTCACTGGTAAGGCACCGGTGAATCATTCAATATAATCTGTGCTATATCAGTGGTAGTTCCAAACTTAAGCGTTTGACTATCTTTTGACCACCGTTCTAACATGCTATATCGATAGTTGTTCTATGGTATGACAATCTACTACCAGAATAGTGTCAGTTCTTATGAGTACTGCGATAGAATAGTGATCATGTGAATGAATGTGTGACATGGGATGATATTTACAGAAATGTAATTGAAAACAAAATTTTGTTTAATTGATTAAGTAAATTATTTTTATTTAATTTTTATTTTAATCCTCATATGATTTTTGTTTATTTAATATAAACAATAATAGTAATTCAATAAATTTATGATTTGTCACTCGTATATTTTGATTTTGAAGTTCAAAGTTCAACACAATGTCTGTATTTAATTATTATTTATCATAGCCTATAATTCGAACATTTGAATATTGAACGATATCGCCATCATTTAGTTGTGAACTTATCAAAAGACGATAACTAGCAAAATGAATTACATTTGAAAAATTTTATCACGTAAAATATTTCAATCGACCAGTATCATTGTAGATGAGTGTCCAACTTGAATCATGGTGCAGCGATTCTATAGTTGATGCATTTGATCCTTCAGGAGTTACAGTAATTAGTAGATCATGATCAAATCTATCATCTGTTATAGCAAAGAGAAGACCACAAGCTAGAATTGAGTGGCTAATAGAAGGTATGACCAAAAAAACCAGTACTGATTCCAGCTTCGTTAACACTCTTATTTGGACCATCTTTATGTCTTTGATGGAAATATTTAGTCGATTTTGAATTATTCATTACAAGTTCGGGTAACGCATGACTGTTGTCGTATCTCATATGTTTCATTATCATTGTAGTCATTTGTTTTGCCACAAACTATTATCAACGTTTGTTTTTCATACCACTGAAAACAAAAAATTAAACACGAAAGTAGACAATTTTTGATACTTTTGATAATTATTGATTAATACAAAAAGGACGCAATAATTTTATTCAATCAAAGTCAAACATAAGAGACTTATTCATTGTTGAAAAGATTATACAAAGTTAAAAAAATAACTTTTAATATATTTTTTTAGATCATGTATATGTCATAAGAAGTTATCTATTTAAATGAGTTTATATTGCATTAGGATGTTTGATATTAATGATATACATAGACATTTGTAAATTAGTAAATTGATGAATGTAAATCAAAATTGATAATGTATATATAGAAATTAAATTACAAAACAAAATAAGCATGCGATTATTTATTCTTTAGTAATGAATAGATGTATATCAATTGATGTTTTAAGGTAATTCTATGTTTTACCAAGAAAGAAAAATTTCTTTTTAAATTTACATATAAAAACATGATTTATTCTTATTATCTTCATTTTGAAATAAAATGAAACAGAAGTCTATGAAAAGATTTTTAGAATGAATAAGTCTAGTCTTTTTTTCATCTTTGATCTTCTTATAATTCAAATTTTCATCCTTTTTTGAACTTGATATTCATCTTTTTAGTTATTAAGTCATATATTTTATTGAAATAATTTTTTTTTAAATTAACTATTAAAGAACAGATCGTTGAAGATTGGTTTTAAGTACGTAGTAATACTTATTGTCAAACTACTAATCATTGAAAGTACAGTTGTTGAATTGCGTAACATTTGAGTACTCGTCGATTGTAGATTTTTCGAAGTATCAATTCTTGTCAAATTCCTTGGTATATCGATTGTTATCAAGCTGCTAGTATCAGTCATACTAACGGATGATCCTATTGAGGTTCAAATGCATACTGTTAAATCAATTGCTGTCGAAAATTTTATCGACGATAATTGATTACGAATAATACTTATTATCAAATTGTATGTTAACAATGACACAACTCTAGTAAAAGTTGTTTATTCATTTAATATATTTAATATATTTGATTTCCACAAGCATCATATTCTAAAATGAGCCTTCGACGATTTGAATAGTACAAGTAAGTGTAGCTGATGAAATAGTTGATCACAATGTATCTAATCTATTCGATCTCGAGATGTCGATGTTGATCGAAACAACGATATTTATGAAGCTCATATAAATAATTATAGTATCCAGAGGTGAACTAAAAATACATCGTCAAGAATAACAATAGTTGATATCAGTAAGCTAATGATGGTTGTACGCAAAACAAAGTATGAAATGATGTTATGAAAAACTAATATTTTTCTCACATGCGCAACATGCCAATTTGTTGTGAATTTTTTATGACTTTTTTTTTTCAATATCCATTCGACGTAGGCATGCAGTTCTTACATATGTTCTAGGCAATGTGATTTTTCTCATAAGTATGATATTTGTTTCAATAATTGATTTCGGTGTAGCTGATACATAATATCATAGAATACAATTTTTTCTGTTTGAACACACAAAAAAGTAGAATTAGTGTTAGTATAGGCTGATCAGGATATAATTTTCTATTTATATTAATACTTGACAACCAAATGAATCATTAATATGTAGCAATGTCGATTAATAATCGAATGTAAAAATAAGTTCGTAATTAAATGTATTCTTAATTGTCTAAGATAAGAAGTTTACAAATTTCAGAATTATTGAATAAAAATCGTTCGTATTGAATTCGAAAGAATAGACATAAATATGTAAAAATCAATTAAATTCATGACAACATGTTTTGATAAAAACTTTTATTAGGAAAAAAAAAGCTTTTTTCAACAATAACAAAAACATAATGAAAACTCTCTTCAGAAATTAATTTGTAATGGATCAATAATATGACAGATAATGAAAAACAACGTATTCTGAAGTCGATTAACATTTTCCAAAAACAAAAATTTCTAAACTTCATGTCGTTTAATATCACACAATTACTGTTTCTATTTATAAGTATGAGACGAAAATTGACTTGCTGACTTTGTCGAAGGTTAAATAAAATTATTGTAGATAAAGAAATCTAAATAAACAAAAAAATTAAAAGATTTGATTTAGTTTATGAAATAAATTAGAAAAGAAAACCTTTATCTTAATGTGTAGATTTCGACATAATCGATGGATACAGATGTACAATGTCTATGATGTATGCAGGAAAGCTACCAAAAGGAAACTATATACTGACGCTGGTCGGATGTTTGTTTATAATAAAAACGAACAAAGAAATCATGTACTTGAAAGTATGTTTTATTGTTTCATAAATGCGTTGAATCATCGAAATTGGTAGATTATACCTATAATAAAACTAAATATTCTTATTTTTAGATTATTTTAGATAAAGAATAAATGAGTTGAGAAAAAGTTTCTATTAAAACTAAGAACTATTGAATGTAAAACAAAGAAATTAAATAATCTTTCATCAAATTTATAGATTGATAGATTTCAGTCATCAATAACTATATTTCATTAGAATCTCGTATGATCGAATTTGTAGGAAAGATTATCTAAGATTTAATACATCGAATTATTCATTCGATAGTGTATACGCTAATTGGTTTTCAAAACTTGTTGGTACGAAGATAGAATGAAGACAAAGATAAACTTATTGCCAAGATATCAACTGTTTGTCAACTTATTATGTTGTTTATTATAAGAAACACAATGTTTTCTCTTTATCTTACGAACAGAGAGATTCGAAGCTCAAGTAATAAAAATAAATGAATTTCGTACTACTATGAATATAACGATCATTCTCACTTAGATCGTTAGATTAATTATGAATCTATTCATTAATTAAATAATAGCTAATAAAAATATAATAAGTATTTTAGTGAGTGAAAACTAATCATGTTGATAAAGATTAATACGTGCCAATGAAAAGTATATTTTAAACAAAACCAACTGAAAAAAAACCTGTTCTTTTCAAGTCCGTCTTGATCACTAGAAAACTAAATAAATCATAGAACTATATTAAAAACAAATATCTAAACTTACAATAAAAACTATTAAACCAACAGTCAGAAGCATTGCGCTGTGTTTTTATCCACTGACGAAAAAAAAATGAAATTAACGCACATTAAAACAACGAGTGATTGTATCTTGCTGAAGAGAGAATATAAAATGAATGATATGCATACAAAGATATTCGTAATGGATGATATGATATGATCAAAGGTTAAAAAAAAAGGTATAGGTTGGAAAGATAATTATTCATGTGTATTATGCATGTGTACATAATAGATGAGTAACATATAGCATTCTATGCATCGATATTGAGTTGACAATAAGCTTAAAATAGAAGAAAAATATTTTGTTTACTTATGATGAATTTTTATTATTAGAGAAATGTACATAACTAACAAATGTTTAATATTGATTTATCATTTGGAATTAAATACAATCGAACAATTCAAAAGAAATCATTCTTTTATTTGTTGCATACAACGAATCACATTTCTATGAGATTTTTTTCTTATGAAAAAAAAAAACAACAAGATACATTATGATAATTGAATTTATACATTGATATTTTGTTGATCATGCAATTGTCATTTCATAAAGTATGAAAAGAAATATAGAATATGCACGAATATTCTACAATATCTTTTGCAATTTCATCTAATAATCATATACATTTTTACTTCACAAAAATTTTTAAAAAAATTCAGTTTCATTTGAAACGAATACTTAATCAAATCTATTGATTCGGTATTTGTTTTTTTTTTTTGATTGAATAATATTGGTTTTATTCAGATGTGTAAAAAAGAAGACTTAATAAAAAGGAAATGAAATGAAAAAAAATCTATGGGTTTTGAGAAACTTTTCAAAGATCATCATTAGAACATGATCTGGCCTCGTAGCACCACTCTATGGGAATATAGGAATATATAGGAATTGACCACCACAATTTATATAGGATTTTCTCGAACTATATAGGAAATATATAGAATACTGATTTTTGCTCAAGTCTTTAGAAGTCGGAGAAATCTTTCAATTGCATTGAAGATTATAGACTATTTTATTTGATATGTATCTGATGAACTAAAGAAAAATATCTGCGACTTGTGAAAAACAGTATCATAATAAAATATTTCTTTCAGAAATGAAAAACAATAATTTGTGTTTGATTTATTTTCAACTACTCTACAGATACTAAACTATAGGATTATAAACGCAACCAAATGCAATAGAGACCACAAAGAATTTATTTTTTGGTTTACACAATATAAACTATACCTCTTTTTAATACTATTAAAACATCTGTCATACCTAAAAGTATATTTTGAAATATATACAAGTGTAAATCTGTTTTAATTATAAGCAATCGCTGAATCAGTTGTAGTTTTTGTCGTTTCTGCTATTCTTGACCCAAATCATTTTTTCGTTCATTTCTTATCTTAATCAACTGTTCTGCACTTTCGACATCTGTTCCAGATCGTTTTACCTTCAGTATTATCATAATTAGTTAATCTTGTAGCTCTAACTATATCAAGACTATTTATTGATTGCGGATTCTAGTAAACGTCCACTGTTATTGGTGGCTGTCTAGTCGTCTTCATGAAGTTCATGCTGAAAATTTTTTAGTTTCATTAATATTTCTTCTTTTTCTTACAATAATTGCTTACAGACTTCATTTACACAAACATGTTCTGTATTTTCTTCCATTAAACGTCTTATTGTTGCTTTCTTGACATTCAGATCAAAGAATATACGACTTTTTTTGCGAGGAATCTTCAATTTTTGGAAAAATATAGGAATATAGGAAAAAACCTTGAAATATAGTCCATTATAGGACTAATTTTAAAAATATAGGAATTATAGGAAATATAGTCCCACTACGAGGCCAGAACATGATATAATCCTCATTTATTTCTTAGAAAATTGTTTTCATCCATTGGAAGATCTTTCAAATAACATTGACAAAGTCAAATTTGATCCATTAGAATGAAAAATAAAATATTTACTTCCAAAAAGCATACAAGCTCGTTCATGTTTAGTTGAATCTACAACGAATGAATTCGATGATCGAGCGACACGAGTAAATCGTGATTCGATTGTTAATCGAATATTGAAAGTTTATCTTACATACAAACGACAGAAGTTCCGACAGAAAACGAAACACTATTAGTAATAAATACTTCTTGACAAAATCAGTCTTTCTTCGCAGGAAGGTTCAAAGTGTTCGTGTGAAATAATTTCTAATTGGCCATCTGTTCATGTGAATAAATTCTAAAATAATTCAACATCAATGAAAGCTCATAAGCGCCCACATGAGGCTGCCATAGAACATTGAGAACCGGTATGAGTGTACCACCGAATTGTATTATACCCTGAAAAAAAGTATTTTAAGGAAATCAATGGAATTTTTAAATAAAGCTCTATATAGAAAGTCTTCGAACAAGATGTTTGTTCATTTTTTCGACCACTTACAATGGAGGTGTTTGTATTGTAAATTAAAAACATTAGACATATTCGGATCAAAAGAAAGGTCTTACTGCCGAAATAACAAATTTAAAATATTAGCTGCTGTTAGTGTGCACAGATCGAAATATTCAAATTTTGAGGTATTTACAGTCTATGTACGATACCCACAATCCAACCTTTTAGCAGAACATTTTCTTCTTTCTTCTTAATCGTTGGATAGAGCTCATTAAGTTGCATTAGACAATATATATTTCATACTTTGAAAATTCTTATTGGGGAAAAATCAAAGCCACGTTATTTCTTAAATATAATGAGAAATAGAGCCAAAATTCTGACTTTCGTAAGCTTATTTTTAAATCTCTTTTTTCAAAATATGAAACACATATTTTCTAATGCAACTTGATGAGCTCTATCCAAAGATCAAGAAGAAAGAAGAAAATGTTCTGCTAAAAGATTGGATTGTGGGCATCGTACATAGACTGTAAATACCTCAAAATTTGAATATTTCGATCTGTGCACACTAACAGCAGCTAATATTTTAAATTTGTTAGTTTGGCGATGAAACCTTTCTTTTGACCCGAATATGTCTAGTGTTTTTAATTAACAATACATACACCTCCATTGTCAGAAAAAAAACCATTTCGATCACTTGTACTTCAAAAAGAAAGCTCAATTGTTTTCCTTGATGAACGATTAAATCTTTTATGCATACGAATGAAGAAAACTCTTCATAGCGTAGTGAGTATTATCACAATGTCGAAAATGCAGTATTCTGTATCTTAAAAAACGTACTGTACTTAACACTAGCCAATCGTTCTTGATCTTTGAAAGATAATGTTGGGTGACTATTCAAATTGTTGTCTGGGCTGTTGGTGAAATATCTCAACATGTTCATCATTCAATTCTTAGTAAAAATTTACTTCGAAAATAGTGACTTATTAATAAATGCCACGAAGAATTTCGATTCGTCCATCATTGATAAATACCCGAAAAAAAAATTCGCCAGTTAAGCGCACAAAGAAAACAACAAAGCTATTCGTCATGTATTTGATAATTTTTTTCTCTTTTCTCGTTCCATTTCTACGTCACTTCACAAACGGTAAATGCATTTCATTTTTTCATTCCTACGACAGAAAAGTAATCGTCGCTTGGCATGTGAGACACGCCAAAAAAAAAATTTTTTTTTCCAATACAATAACGTCAAATGTTAGAAGCTATTAAACAATAAAATTACAAGTAGGTATATAAATTCTATGCGTGACTCAAGCATGAAATTTGAATTTGTAGACGATCTTATAGAATATTGAACAAAGAAAATGAACGTTGTGAAACAGAACTTGATTCATAACTTAACAAAGTAGTGAGCAAAGAAAAATGCTAGCAATTTTGTATAGGAGAGACTTTTTGACTGATATGACGTAAGACTTTCACAGCCGATCTGTTAACATTTAAAATAAACTATCACGAAAAATCTCGTCTAAAAACTCCATCTCACTGTTAGGGTGGTTAAAATTCATGTACACATTCTTCAATATGATGTTCGCTAGCCTATATCAATTTTTCATCGATACATATTGGCTCTTGTAGTTCAAACATTTATCAGAAAAACAATTCCATCAATCAGTTCGAAAATCGGCATCCTAGCTATAAAAAAACAGCCTTATATTACAGTTTCAGATCTCAACATGGGTACAACTGTATCTCAAGTTCCTTCGCACAAACCATTTCTTGAAGTTAAACAAGAATGGACTTGCTCACAATGCACTACTAACAATCCTAACTCTGTCTATCCTATATGTGTTGTGTGTACCGAAAAAGATTCGAATTTTCCCATGCCTCAGTCAACAGTTTCATCAACAACATCCTGGCGTTGCGATCTGTGCTCCTTCGACAATGAAGCTGCTCGTCAACATTGTACTATATGTGGCAAAAAGCGAATCAAACTGGTAAAGGTCTATGCGAATGAGAAAATTCTCTTAGACACAACCATTCATTTTCTTGTCTAGAACAAACGAGAACTCCATTCGGCCAATACAAGAATAATGTCCGCCATGAGACCCAAGTCAGTTTCTGTTCGTAATCGTCAAGAGATGGATGAGTCAAATGCAGAAAAAATAGCTCGTGATGCAATCTTATTTTGTCAGCAGGTATGTAGAAATATGATCAAGATGTACCCATTATCATATGAATGATTCAAGAATAAAGTTACTTTTGTCGATGATCAATTTCTACCTTCTGCTCGTTCTTTGGGTACATCGCAAACGGATCACATGACACGGTGGTTGCCACTTGCTGAGATAGCACCGTCAACACGCGTTGATGGTCATCTACCTTGGACAATCTATAATTCTCCAGAACCGCACGATATTCATCAAGGTAAACTTGGTAATTGTTGGTTGATGGCTGCCTTGGCACTGATCACTGAACGACCCCAAATGCTTCAACATATTCTTCTGACGAAAAAAGTAAATCGAGAAGGAGTCTATGTTGTACGTATTTGTCACAATGGTATATGGAAAGCCGTGCTTCTCGATGAATATTTTCCGTGTACAATAGACAATAGACTAGCTTATAGTCGAGCTGCACGTCATCAATTGTATGTTCCATTGATTGAAAAAGCGTGTGCGAAACTTTTCGGCTCGTATG